CTTATGCGAAGGAGATAGCCTTTGGGTTAAATTTTGATGAAAACATTTACTAAAGGCCTCTGGGCTGGAATCTTAGCTCTTCTACTTGCTAACAGTATGGCAATCCAACCTCATTAGGCCCAAGTTCCCTGATCTCATACAACTGGGAGTAGGAAAAGGGCTTTTTTTTCAATTTAGTATTTTATTTTCCCCCAATTACATGTAAACAATTTTCAACATTCATTTAAAAAAATTGAGTTCCAAATTCTCTCCCTCTTTCCCCACTTCCCTCCTTGAGAAGGCAAACGATTTGATATATGTTATACATGTGTAGTCATGCAAAACATATTTCCATATTAGTCACATTATAAAATAAAACATAGACCAAAATTAAAAACCAAGAAAAATAATGAAAGTAAAAAAGGCTGCTTCAATCTGCCTTCAGACTCCATCAGTTCTTTGTCTGGGGATGAATACCATTTTTCATCATATGTCCTTCAGAGTTGTCTTGAATCACTGCACTGCTGAGAAGAGCTAAGTCACTCGCAGTTGATCATCATACGATGTTGCTGTTACCATGTACAACATTCTCCTGGTTCTACTCATTTCACTTTGCATCAGTTCACGTAAATCTTTCTAGGTTTTTCTGAGAGCATCTAGATGAGGTGACCTTTAAGAATGCTTCATACTCTTAAATCCATGATCCTCCGAGGATTCTGAAGTTTCAAATCTGGGTGACTGGGAAGATGGTAGTGGTTTCATCAAAAATAGAGAAGTTTGGAGAATGAGTCTCGACAGAAGGGACAGGTTATGGGGCCATGGAAAGGGGGCGATTAGGAGGCATGATGGCCAACCCTCAGGAGATAATTGTCTCCAAACTGAGTCAGGCTCTTCTTCATTCTATCACTAGGCCTCTACATGAAGTCATTCTGGCTTGGCAGACCCTACCAAGAAGTTCCAGGGCCTCGCTCTTTTGCCTCTGGGATCAAATACCAACTTCGTCATCTGGCATTTAAGAGCCTGCCCAACCTGGCTCCACCTACTTTTCTCGGTTTATTGGGCACCATGCCACTTTCCTTTATGCCCACTGACAGTCAAACTGCCCTACTTGTTGTTCACCAGACACAAGCCAACAAATCAAAAAGCAGCAATTAAGTGCCTGCTGTATGCCAGGTGTAGAGCTAAGTGCTGGGGATACAAAGCGAGAAGCAACCAGGCTGACCTTCCATCAAGCCTCAGTTTCTTTATCTTTAAAATGAGGAATATGGAGTAAATGACCTCCAAGAACCCTTCCAGCTCGCAAGTCTGAGTGACTAGAGGATGCAAGTTTAGAGATCAGGCTTGGGCTGGAGGGGCAGGGAGTGGCCTGCCTTTGTACAGGCTGTTCCCCAGGCCTGGAATCATCTGCCTCTTAAAATGTCCAATCACCTTCAAGGTTAAGCCCATGGACCACCTCCTCCTAAGGCCTCAGCCTTTCCTGATGCCCCCAAATGCTCATGCCCTGCCCCCAACCTAGAAATTACTTTGGGGTTATTTTGTCTTCACCAATCACGTTCCCAGCCCTCAGGATGTAACATGCTCCTTACAGACAGTGACACCTTCCATTTTGTCTTCATATTCCTAGCATCTAGTGCAGGGCCTGGCAACGAAAGGCACTTCCCTAAATGCTTGCTGAAAGAATAAAGGATCCTGTGCTTCAGAGTAAAAGGACTTAAGGAGTCTAAATCCTGTTTCTGCTACTTCCTACCCATGTGACCTTGGCAAAGGCATAGTCTCACTAGGCCCCAGCTTTCTCTTTTAAGGATGCTGGGCAGTGAGATGGCCAGGAAGATCCTTTTCTGGCTCTGGATCTATGCCGTACCCCCCCTTCGATGAAGCAGCAAAGTAGGGATTGAATGAAAGCAGTGTACCCCTAGAATTCTAGAACAGAAACAACTTCACTTCCTAAGAGATTGACTGCCCTAAGAGCAGTGAAAATTTGTGAAAAGCCCACTCTCTTCCCCTATGACTTCCTTCTGGTATGATAGTGACAAAAGAAATTATGGAATTAGCAGCTATTCACTCTGGTGTCCCTCACCAATAGCTTGCAGACATCTCTGAGCCTAGGTCTGATCAAAGCAGGAAAGAAGAATCCTTCTACCATTTGGCACTCTGTGCTGGGAAATGAAGGGGCTGGGGTTCATATGATTATATCACCTAAGACGAGGAGGGGGTGAAAAAGACCTATTTGTTCCAGTGATCTAGGAGAGAAAGTAGAGGTGGCCACAATGACCACTGTCAGCATCTGCTAGAAAATGAAGACAGCAGCAACCCCCCTAACATTTCACACTGATGGCACAGGTGACATCAACTAACTGTAATATTGCTATCTATCTCGCTGGTGGACTTCAGTGACCATTCCTACAACTATGCATACCCAAACAAGTGCTTTCTTTGAAGGAGTTATTCTCAAAACAACCTAAGAGATGGTGCATTTCCCAGTATTCACACAGTAACACTCTACCATCTGTAGAGCTCTTTAGGAGGGGCAAAGCATTCTATATACAATTATCTCCATTATCTTGCCTCTCACATTAAGCCCTCACAGGGTACTGTGAGGTAAGTATTATACCCATTTCATAAATGAACAACGTGAAGCTGAATTAGGCCTTACTCATGATCTTGCAAGAGCTAGATTTAAGGCAAGCTTGAAGCCCTGGCCTCTCCTGCCCCTAAATCTAGTGCTCCTCCCACTGTTCTATTTCTGCTTCTTAGAGCTAGGGCTTATTTCCCCCCAATTCTCTTTCCAAAGAACCCTATCACAATTAAGTTACTATTATATAGCATTAGTTATACCATGGGTCCGATTCTGTTCCTGTAAGAGTAACTATGGTATACGGGTTGGAAAGAGAAAACAGTATTAGTCTATAGCACCAGTGTCTTCACTATCAGATTTCTACAATAAGATTTCTGATTATGATACACATGACAAGGCAGGTAGAAAAGAAAACCAGAGTCTTGGCTTATGCCTTGGATCAGCAGCTTTTAGGGAGCAAGCTCCAGATTAGTCCTGTGAGCCTCAGTCTGTCTTTTGCCTTCCTGGCATGGCCCCCTCCTAACAGGCTGATTCCATGGCCCTTGTCAGTACTCTGCCCTCAAATGTTGTCACTTACCAGGACAAGGGACATTATTCACTTTCCAAATGGGTTCCACCAGTGCAGAATCTTTTTTGTTGAACTAGTCGGCTCTTGTCATGTATTTACAATGATTCAAATTACCAAAAGAAGGCTGCCTTCTAAAGGCTTCTGGAACATACTGCCTGTTCAAAGGCAGGACAGCTTGCATCATCAGCCCAGTTGGGTGATTTTGATCGTCATTAGCCTAGTCTTTAACACAATCTTGGGCTTCTTTACAAAAGTGTGTTCTAAGGATTAAAACACAAATTATTTCTATGTTGAAATGTTGTAGATAAACTATGCCTGTGAACATTCTCTGTTACTAAAGTTGTATTTCTTGGTTTCTCAAAATGATACAAAGAATTTTTCCTATAGTTAGTCTTTTTCTCATTGAAGTGGACATGGGAAGATAAACTGCAAACTTTTTGTAATGAGGTACACCATGTACCATGAAGACCAACTCCAGAAGAATACAGTATGCCTGAGGGAAACAAGAGTCCCTTTGCATTTCTGGACTGCTTTCTGGCCCCCTTCTGCCCTATGTTTAGGCCTTCCCAAGAGCCTTCCAAGTGCTCTCCCAACTTCCAATACCTCCCCTCTCCCATCCATCTTCTACCCTGTGGCCAACGGGATTTCCTAAAGTCAAGGTCTGCTTACACTACTTACTCAATAAACTCAGATGGCATGGTAGAGAGCCCCCTAGGATCCTTAGGTTTAGCTTTTAAGCCCCTTACAAGCCTAGCTCCAGGCTATCTTCCCAATCCAAATTATATACCCCTCCCCCACCCTCTTCCTCTCTACTCCAGCCACACTGGCCTGCTCCCTGTGCCTCCATTTCCTGGCTTTGGGTCTTTCCATCTGCTAACTGCTGCACCTCTCAGGATCCTTTGCTTCCTTTACAACTCTGCCCAAGGGACACCTTCAACAGGAAGCCATTCCTGAATTCCACCCCCAGCTCCTAGAGCCCCTTCCCCCAATTTTCTTAGACTTGTTTTGTCTCCACGTTACATATACTTATGCATACAATATCTCCCCAAAATAGAATGCAAGCTTTTTGAGAGGAGGAACTGTTCTCTTGTGTGTTTTTGTATCTCATACAGTGCCTGGCACATTGTCAACACATTTCCAGAGTCAGCATATGATATCAGTGCAATGCAAGTATGTTTGACATGCTATGAAACGTTAAGATTTGCAGGGATGGGGGGGGGAAGGGAGAAGAGAGCCAGATTTGAACTCAGGAAGATGAGTCTTCTTGATTCCAAGCCCAGAGCTCTATCCACTGTACTGCCTAGCCGCCTTAACATGGCAACGATGCTTTTAAAAAATGGCACTGATAAAAAATATTTTTTAAAAAAGAACATGCTTCCAGGAAGTAGGCCAACAACAGTAGAGAGGCAGGCTGGAGAAAACTTTTTCCTAGATTTTGAAATTTAAATGTTAACATGTTAACAGAAAAACAGATGTTAACATGTTAAAGAAGCAAGTTTTGAGGGAGAAATGCTGATTTTGAAATTGGGGAAGATTTTCTTTTTTCCCCTGTCAAAATAACTGACTAGCTTAAAAAAAAAAAAAAGGGCCGACTCTGAGTCCTTTAGCACATTAGTATCAAGCTCCAATAGGCACAGAGGCCATGAAACTGTACCTAAGGATCCCTGGGGGCCACATCTCTGTGGGACTTAGTTTTCAAACATAACCTGTTCTATGTTTTATTGAATTTTTATTGATTTTGTTAACTATTTTCCAATTACATTTAAATCTGGTTCAGGCCTCCCTCAGGAGTGTTATGGACTGCGTGCTTAGAGTAAACATTAAGTGCCACTGATGGTAATCAAAGGCTTCCAAACTTAAATAAGTCATGTATATTACCCAAGCCAGTGTGAGCACTCTTCAAATTTCTTCTGGTAGTAGGTTTCCACACCAAAGTTATAACAAAGAATTGAGAGGTATCCAGGCTACAACAGAAAGAAAGATATTTCAGTTGTGCGATTTCCTTAGAGTTGTATACAGTTTATCTCAGCTTATATTCTTGTACATACAATGAAATGGTTCTAGGTATAAAAACCCCACATTTCCCTGCTGGACTTTAGGTTTATACAGTAAAGAAACTGACCTTCACCCAGAAAGAAGCATAGGCAATATCAGCCCTATTACCAAATCAAGCCTGGGCAGGACACAACAGAGAAAAGGAGACTGGTTGAAGGCCAGTGGATGGCATCACAGCAGGGATAATATTAAAAAAGAAAACTCACCCAACAGCAAGAGATAGAAAGAGAAATTCCATTTGAAATAACTGTAGACGATATAAAGTACTTGCCAAGACAAACCCAGGAACTATATAAACACAATTACAAAACATTGCTCATGCAAATAAAGTCAGATCTAAACAAATGGAAAAATATCAATTGCTCATGGGTAGGCCAAGACAATACAATAAAACCGTCAATTCTATCTAAATTAATTTACTTATTCAGTGCCATATCAAGCTACCAAAAAAACTATTTTATAGAGCTAGAAAAAATAACAATAAAATTCATCTGGAAGAACAAAAGGTCCAGAATATCAAGGGAATTAATGAAAAAAAAAAAAAAGCAAAGGAAGGTGGTCTAAGCATACCAGATCTCAAGTGGCAATCATCAAAACTATCTGGTACTGGCCAAGAAATAGAGTGGTCAGTCAATCAATGGAATAGATTAGGAACACAAGACACAGGAATAAGTGACCATAGTAATCTAGTGTTTAATAAACACAAAGATCCCAACTTCTGGGATAAGAACTCGCTACTTGACAAAACATGCTGGGAAAACTGGAAAACAGTATGGCAGAAACTAGGCATAGACCAACATCTCACTCCACATACCAAGATAAGGTCAAAATGGGTACATGATTCAGACCTAAAGGATGATATCATAGGCAAATTAGGGGAGCCTGAGATATTACCTGTCAGATCTATGGAGAAGGGAAGAATTTATAATCAAACAAGAGATAGAGAGTATTACGAGACAGAAAATGGATAATTTTTGTTACATTAAATTTTAAAGAGTTTGCACAAACAAAACCAGTGCAACCAAGATCAGAAAGAAAGCAGAACACTGGGGAACAATTTTTCCAGTCAGTGTCTCCGATAAAGGCCTCATTTCTCAAATATATAGACAACTGAGTCAAATCTATAAGAAGTTATTCCCCAATTGATAAATGGTCAAAGGATATGAACAGGCAGTTTTCAGATGAAGAAATCAAAGCTATCTATAGTCATGTGGGGAAAAAATGCTCTAAATCACTATTGATTAGAGAAATGCAAATTAAAACAACTCTGAGGTACTACACCTCATACCTATCAGGTTGGCTAACATGACAGAAAAGGAAGATGATAAACGTTGGAGAAGATGTGGGAAAATTGGGACACTAATGCACTGTGGGTGGAGTTGTGAACTGATCCAACCATTCTGGAGAGCAATTTGGAGCTATGCCCAAAGGGCTATAAAAATGTGCATACCCTTTGACCCAGCAATAGCACTTCTAGGGCTGTATCCCAAAGACATCATACAAATGGGAAAAAGACCCTCATGTACAAAAAGAGTTATAGCAGCTCTTTCTGTGGTGGCCAAGAATTGGAAATTGAGGGGATGCTCATTCAGTGGGGGAATGACTGAACAAGCTGTGGTATATGAATGAAATGGAATACTACTATACACTAAGGAAAGATGTGCTGGCAGATCTCAGCAGACTTACATGAACTTAGCAAAGTGAAGTGAGCAGAACCAGGAGAACGTTGTACACAGTAACAGCAACATTGTGAGATGATCAGCTACAAATAACTTGGCTCTTAGCAATACAAGGATCCAAGACAATTCCAAAGGACTCAATGAAAAATGCTATCCATGGCCACAGAAAGAATTGATGGAATCTGAATGCAGATGGAAACAGACTACTTTCACTTTATCTTTTTTGTGTTTTTTTTTTAACTTTTGGTCTGTTTCTTCTTTCACAACATGATTAATATGGAAATATGTTTTACATGATTGCACATATATAACCTATTTAAAAGTCTTGCCCTTCTCAGAGGAGGGGGAGGGGAGGGAGGGAGGAAGAAAATTTGGAACTCAATTTTTTAAAATAAATATTAAAATTTGTCTTTACATGTAATTGAAAAAATAAAATGTTATTTTCAATAATAAAACTAAACATGCATAAAAGGATATTATAATTTTGTGAAGAAGTTCTCATTTAGCAAGTTTACAATTCATCTCCTAGTGCTTATAAGGATTTATTTAATTGTGGATTTCTGTTGTCAAATTGTTCAGTCTTATTTTTCTTCGAAATAAATTATTTTGTTATAAAAAATTAGAATTGGGCAAGTGGAAGCTAATGACTTTGAGACATCAAGAAACAATCAAACAAAATCAAAAGAATGAAAAGAAAGAAGAAAATTTGAAATATCTCATTGGAAAAACAACTAGCCTGGAAAATATATGCAGGAGAGATAATTTAAGAATTATTGGACTACTGAAAGGTATAAAAAGAGCCTAGACATATTTCAAGAAATTATACAGGAAAACTGCCCTGATATTCTAGAGCCAGAGGGTAAAGTAGAAATTGAAAGAATTCACTGATCACCTCCTGAAAGAGATCCCAAAATGAAATCTCCCAGGAATACTACAGCCAAATTTTCCAGAGGTCAAGGACAAAATAATGCAAGCAGCCAAGAAGAAACAATTCAAATATCATGGGGCCACCATCAGAATAATACAAAATTTAGTAGTTTCTACATTAGAGGATCTCAGGGGTAAATATATTCTAGATATATTCTTAATATTCTAGAGGGCAAAAGGGCTAGGATTACAACCAAAAATCACCTATCCAGCAAAATTCAGTATAATCCTTCAGGGGAAAAATGGATATTCAATTAAACAGAGGACTTTCAAGCATTCCTGATGAAAACAGTAGAGCTGAATAGAAAATTTGACTTTCAAATACAAGACTCAAACATATAAAGGTAAACAGGAAAGAGAAATTATAAGAGGTCCGATAAGGTTAAACAGTTTACATGACTACATAGTAAAATGGTGCTTATAACTCCTAAAAATTCTCATTATTAGGGAACTTAGAAGTATACATAAAACAGAGGGAATGTGTGTGTGAGATGAATATGACAGGACAGTTATCTAAAAAAATTAAGGGGTGAGAAAGGGGAATGCACTGGGAGAAGGGGAAAGGGAGAGGTAGAATGGGGCAAATTATCTGACATAAAGAGGCATGAAAGAGCTTTTACAGTGGAGGGCAAGATGGAGGAAGGGGGAAATGTATGAACACTATCATCATAATTGGTCCAAAGAGGAAATAACACACACTCAGTTGGGTATAGAAATCTATCTTACCATACAGGAAAGTAGGGGGGGAGGGGATAAGAAGGTGGGCTGATAGAAGGGAAGACAGGTTGAGAGAGATAAAAGTCAGAAGTAAAATACTTTTGAGAATGGACAGGGTGAAAGGAAAGAGCAGGATAAATGGGGAAATAGGATGAGGGAAATACATAATTAATAATCGTTAACTGTGAAAAATTCTACAGCAACTTTCTCTGATAAAGACCTCATTTCACAAATATATAGAGAAATGCACACACACAGAACTGAGTCAAATATATAGAGAACTCATATATATAGTGAACTCAAATATATAGAGAATCGAGTCAAAATTTATACAAATAAGAGCCATTTCCCCATTGATAAATGTCCAAAGGACATGAACAAGCATTTTTCAGATGAAGTAGTAAAAGCTATCTATAATCATATGAAAAAATGCTCTAAGTCACTATTGATTATATAAATGCAAATTAAAAGAACTCTGAGCTACCACCCCACACCTGTCAGATGGGGTAACATGACAGAAAAGGAAAATGATAAATGTGAGATGTGGGAAAAATTGAGACACCAATGCACTGTTGGTAAAGTGGTATACAGATTCAGCCATTCTGTAAAGCAATTTGGAATTATGCCCAAAGGGCTATAAAACCATGCATACCCTTTGATCCAGCAATACCACTACTAGGTCTGTATCCTATAAGAGATAAAAACAAAAAGGAAAATGATCTATATGTACAAAAATATTTATAGCAGCTCTTTTAGTGATGGCAAAGAATTGGAAATTGAGAGGATGCCTATCAAATTGGGGAATGGGTGAACATGTTGTTGTATATTATTGTGATGGAATACTATTGTGCTATAAGAAATGATCAGCAGGATGCTTTCAGAAAGACTTACATGAACTGATGCAAAGTGAAATGAGCAGAACCAGGAGAACACTGTTACAGTAACAGCAACATCTGTATGATGATCAAATGTGAATGACTTAGCTATTCTTAGCAATACAACAATCCAAGACAATTCTGAAGGACTTATGATGAAAAATCATCTCCAGAGAGAAAAAAAATCTCATCTCAAGAGAAAGAACTGATGGAGTCTGAATGCAGATCAAAGCATACTTTTTCTTTACTTAATCTTTATTTTCTTGGGGGGGGGTGTTAAGCTGTGTTTTCTTTCTTGGAAATGTTTTCCATGACTCCATATGTATAACCTCAGTCAAATTGCTTGCCTTCTCAATAGGGAAGGGGGGAGGGAGGGACAGAAGGAAAGAATTTGGAACTCAAAAAATATTTTTAAATGAATGTCTAAAATTGTTTTTATGTGTAATTGGGGGGAAAAATACATTTTTTTAAAATGAGTGGACTACCTGAAACCCATGACCAAAAAAAGTCTAGACATATTAAAAAACAAAAAATTTAAACTGCTCAGATCTCTTAGAACAAGAGGGCAAAGTGAAAATAGAAAGAATCCAGTGGTTACCTCCTGAATTAAAACTTCCAAGAACATGGAGGCCAAAATCCAAAACTTCCAGGTCAAAGAAAAAGTACCACAAGCAGCCAGAAAACAAGGATTCAAGTACTGAGGAACCAGAG